TACACATTGCCGTTCATCTGAGTGTGACAGTTTGGGTCAGATGATTGAAACTTAGGGGTATTTTGATATTTGCAAACATGCTAAGTGCACTTAAAAACTAATTTTGGATCTAAATAGACTGACGTTACATGTTTAGAATGATCTCATATACACTTGTGAAGGCAATTAATATTTTTGAAATTAATTAAATCTGTTAGATGAATGAACATTTCATTAAAGACCCATATTTAAAATAAAAATCAGATCCGTGATAAATGGATCACGGACATTGGCACTGCAATGATCAATAACAAAACTAATCCTGTGTGAGAACAAAAAAAAAAAAAAAGAATTCAATGAATAAAAATGTGTAGTGCATTAAAAACAGTTTTTTTTTTCTCTAGATAAGGAATTTCATGGCGTTTCATACTGTAAACTGCTTTTTCAGGGTTTTTTTTAAACTATTGCTATTCTTCTATGCCGGCAGAAGCATGACAGCAGCTCGACACACTGAGTGCAGAGGTATCAGTGAGATGTTATTTAATGCATTTTTGAACTTAAGGAGAAACTGCTTCCAGCCTCTTTTGGCCCAAAAACTATCTATCATCATTATCCAGAGCCAAATGACATCCACTCTCATTCCCCCTCTTCCTACATTTTCTATGTAGTGGCACTCAAATGCTATATTTGCACACTTCTTCCCAAGTCCTAGTCTACAGAGTGAGTTGTTCTTCTTTTTTACTTCACTTTCTCTTCCACCTATTGGCTTCACAGCTTTAGCCTCCCCTCTGGCTCCTTTCATTGATAGATTTTTGCTCCATCAGTCGGCGCACACCAGCGTATTTGTCACATCAGCCGTTTTCATCATTACAGCCCTGATCCCGGCTTCACTATCTCTAACTCATCTCAGTGTGGGTTAGTGCAGATGAACAATTCATTGTGGATGTTGACAGTCCTTTAAGATGTAGCGCCATGCCTCATGGGTCGAACAGCAGGCCGTATAGCAGGGCTGCTGTGGCTTATTTAGCAGAATGAAGGGATCTCGCGATTGTGCATCGTCCAACCTCTAGGCCCTGTGTAAATGCAAGCATGTCAGCTTTGCTCATTATGAAGTACCGACCTGTTCTGCACCATGATCATGGCCATCCAGTCAGAGGGATATACATGTTTCCCAATCAGGTCCTTGAAAAGCAGGAAGGACTCCATCAGGAAGTCCTGCGATTAAAACGAAAAAAAAAAGTGAATCACTTCCTATAAAACCTTCAGCAATCTAGTTGAAAAGATTGCTTATTGCCTGCAAATTTGGAGGTGTGCGTGTGTGTGTGTGTGTGTGTGAAGTTACCACTAGATCAGTAGTTCCAGTAAAGGTTTCTATGTACGTGGCATAATGACGATCATCCATCTGACTCAGGATAGCTGTCATGCAGGCAACAACTCTCGACTAAAAGAGGTAAAACAAAATAAAACAGAAGGAGGGGAAAAGGCAACATTACTTTTCTTGAAGGTTTTCACCTGAAGCCAAGAACTGAAAAAAACAAAACAAACAAAAAAAAAAAACAATTGTTGCTCCATCTTGTTTCAGGTAAGGAGACACCTGCAGACACCAGCTCTGCCGCTCGGTAAGTTATGACATTAGCATTCCAGTCAAAAAGCGTCAACGAGATCGTGCTGCAGGATGGCAGTCTCAGCAGGAAAACGTGTTATGCCTGATGTTATTTTTAAAGTGCCTGCATGTGCCAACAAGAGGGCAACGAAATGTTATTCCCAAATTATCATAATTGCTATAAACAAACAAAACCATTGCCAAGGGGACCGGCGGTCTTTTCTATTTCTAGATTACCTTCATAGGCTTACATGAGACAGAGGGAAGATTTATCAGAGGTTTATGTAAGAGTCAAACACACAAGGCACTAAAGCTGCCCAAATTTTAATTTGAGAAAAGCGGCAGACTTCAATTCGGTGTGAATATGGTCAAAATAAGGAATGTTATGTAATGGATAAAACTGCTTTAATACTACAAGTACATAATAACAGCAACATTATGTAGTGAAATGGTAGCAAAATCATAGCTTCAAATTTAACAATTTTTTGTCAGTAGTGTACACATACTTTGACATTTTATTTTATCTTATTCAATCAATGCAAATGCAACAATACAAAGTTTTTCTGCATTATTAGTGATCATTATATTTTATATTATATTTACATTAACATTATATTATTTTTAATGCTCTTTTTGACTGCAGCTGGATACCAGAAGTGTTGGTATATTCTAATGTTGCATAGCAATTATTTTAGTAATTACATTAAATTAGCAAGTTATTACATTATCACAAAGTAAATGTGAGATTGTTACCATATTGTGACTGAAATGTAATAAAAAAATAAAAAAAAACATCTACAAATGTTTTTCAAATTATGGTTTACCGGTAGTTTTTTTTTTTTTTTTTTTTTTCTTTATGAACATTTACATTAAACATAAAAATAGAGATTGAGAGCAAGTAGCTAGTCTGGTATGTAGGTCTCCCTAACCCTTACTTGGACAAATTTTCATTTTTTGTATTATCATTAAATAGTGATTAAAAATTCTGACCACCTAATCAAGATATCATCTGGACATTAACAGGAGCACAGAATCAAAAGCCTTGGTTTGACGCTGCTCTTATTTGTCCGTTTTCTTCCTCTGCTTGAGTGCTTCCAGATCTTTAACTCAAATCCACATAAAGATCACAAATCTGTTCCACAGAGCCCCACAGATGTACAGGTATTTCTGCATGCCAGCGCTTGGGTGAAATTATCCACCAGAGCTGGCAGCGAAAAAGGGGAGGCAAGCAAAAGAGAAGAGAGATGATGGATGGCTAATTGAGGATGAGAGATGAACGGCATCCAGTGCGGTGACAGCTTTCACCTTTTCCCGTCGCATCAAAATAAGTAGGGTATGTATAATTTGTTCTTTTTTTTCTCTCTCTTTTCGCTCTGAAGGAGAAAACCGGAAGCTTGTCACAATAATAATCAAATAGAGACCCATAAATTGACACTAGAGCGTCTATTCAATTACATGAAAAGGCTCATTAAATAAATATGTCACTGGATATGAAGACTCCAAGATTCTAAAAGGAATCTGTTTGAACTTGGTGCACGAGAAGCCATTTTCTCATGCTAACTTCTGCAATTTAGTGACACCAGAGACCACTTCTGAAGACTCGCATCTTTTATCTCTCTCTTCTCTTTCTCTACTCCTCCTCTCCTGCATGCTCCCCTATTAAATGTGCCAGGAGACCATTTTAATCTGACATCTAAGCACTGACTAATTACCGGACGTATCCCGTTACTCAACTACCTTAATTTTATTTCTAAACTCAGTGGTGATATTAATATAATCAACTTCTGGCTTTAAAATCCAACTCCACTGTTATTGTCCATTCCAAAGAGATAAATGTGGGAGTTTGATCTATTTATACAATTTTATGTGTCTACCATCCCGCAAATACTCGGCATCTACAGACAGGACTGAACAGGACAATTAACTCAAGTCTGCCTTTCTCTTCAATTGCTTCCTCTTTAGTGTGCAGCCACTGAACAGTAACAAGATTAGGAACCCACCCACGCACTTGGTCACTTACCGATATTATTTGACGGAGGATTTTCGCCTCCATGATCACTCTGTGTGTGTGTGTGTGTGTGTGTTTGCCTGTGCATGTCTGCAAATTAAAGTGCAGGTCATGTGCTGCATTGTCCTATTTCACTGTAATCACTATCCTCTGAAGACCTATCAGAGAATAGGTCTAAATGCTCAAGGGGGCAAACTGTTTGTCTGCGCTCTAAATAATGTGTTTCATTAGCACCTTCAAGGAGATGCTAAAAAGTTTGGAGAGCACATTTGCCAGCTGTGTATTAATAAAGCCATCACCGGTGTCAAAAGAGGGATTTCAGGGCTCGTTGAGGCAATGTCCTTCACTCCCATCCTCTCACGCTGGTCAGAGTTGATTAAAACATATTAAAAGCTGTAATTTCTAACTTGCCTTGAAATGACATTTCCTTGAAAAATGTCTGCAATATAGACAAAAATGAAAAAAAAAAAAAAATATATATATATATATATATATATATATATATATTCAGCTTTACTACAGTAAAAAACCCCAGAAGCCACAGAGTATACTTTATGGTGGAAATTGGTTGAATTTTACAACATAATGACATTTTTTAGTATCAGTTTACACACAGCGGTGACAGGAATATATAAATATTTAAGCCTCGCTGTGGTACTGAGGAAAAAGTTAAGAAAAGGGTATAATCGAAATGCTGAAAAACTTTTTTTTTTTTTTTTTTCGGAAAGAAAACTTTTAGTCATTGTAATAGGCAAAGTGGAAATGTGTGCTGACACGGCCACTGCTGCATGGACAGCAACGGTGAAGCGCAGATGTATTCGTACGAATCCCGTTCATGACGCTGAACAGATGAAACGAGCACGTGTACATGTTAACGTTCAGCCTTTAAACTGACTGGTTTGATTAAATGTTTTACCTGCCAGCTTACAGTTGCTGGTTAGCTCTTCTTTCATGCTCCTGCACTAAATGATAAAACATTTAGACCAAGCTAAATAAATAAATGAGAAACACAGCGCAGCTAGAAAAAGATCGCTGCACTTCTGAGGCACGCTAGTGTTCACTGGCTCATTAAATATACATGGGTATTTTCTCACAATACACAATTGTATTTATATTTTACATTTACAGCGAAATTAATTCAATATCAGGTTCTGGTAGTGAGAACAGAGTTTTTTGTCTGTCTAGAAGCTATGTGTTTAAAAGTGTGCAGAAATATGCACCCATATTTGAGTTGTTGCAACGTTTCTACATAAAATACTGTTAAAGTTCGTCTTAAAACCCATCTATTTTATTTGGCTTTCAACTCCAGCAAGATCTAGTTTTAAATTGTATCTCTTTGTTTTTAAACTGTAAGTTTTTAATTTTTAATTTTATTGTTATGTTGTGTTTTGATGTGCAGCACTTTGTATCAGCTGTGGTTGTTTTAAAGTGCTTTATAAATAAAGTTGGTATGGTATGGTATAAACCCTCTCTCCCTCACCCTGACCAATTTATGCACAACTTACATTTGAAATTTATGAGTAAAGGCAATCTTCCTCCTGGATTTATTTTAATTTAATTTGCCAAAGTTTAATTGTACACATTAAGCATCCCCTAGAGATACTCGGGGAGGGGGGTGGCATTAAATCACAATTAATGCAATTTAAAACTAAGCAGGAAGAGTTTATAACCCAAAGAAATGTGTGTCACATGGACCAGCACGATTCCTACCAGTGTTGAAAAGGGAGGTGATTTTCACATTGCGTATGAAGCATTTAAACTTTTTTAAAAAAAAAGACAGGATGTCATCACACAGCTAAAACCTGAATACAGGAGACAGTAAAGTAAGCATTAAAATAACACATCGAAACATCGTAACTATGACTAGGTTTAACAAGCAGAAAGATTAGGTTTGAATTGTGTCTCCTTTCTACCTTTTCCTCTTTTCTTTCCATCTTCCATCCTTTATTGCTCCATTTGAAGCTTCCTCCCAGGTGGGAAATCATTACATGGCTCACAACTGTGATTTTCCAATATTTTTATTTTTTTATTTTTAAACAGAACACCTAAAAAATAAAAAAGCCTTGCTGGGAGCCTGCGGCACCTCTCCAGACACAAACTTGTCTTTGACCTCGCTCTATTACACACAAACACACATGAGCCTGCATGTTTCCCCAGACCCAGAGGGTGAGATATAAAGCTAAGGGGGCCTAGAGGTAGAGATGGATTGTCAGGTGGTTTAATTAGAGCTGCAGTGAGTATTTGTCTGAGACAAAGATTTAGGGGGGTCTCTTTGCATTTGGAGCATGAACGTGAACATAGCGGTCTGGTAAGGAAACAGATCAATGTGTCCTCATTTTTTTTTTTTTTCTTTTCCCCCCCTCAAGTCAAGAGCAAGGAGACAAATTCAGGTGATACTAATAGGAGAGAGAAAAACTAGGAAAGGAGGGAGTTCAAGGAGAACGGAATAAAAGTGTGCAGATGAGAGGGCAGGAGGACTAGAAAAATGGGATCGAATGAGATATATGCAAGCTAAAATACGGAGATTTTTCTCTTTCTCCTGCCTACACAGCGCGCTCCTTCTCCTCCCTTCTCCGTCTCTCTCTTTGACAATGACATCCTTCTCCTCTCATCCTGCACTCCAGAATCAAATAGCTGTGACCATGCTCTAACACAGCTATCACTCGCATCAGACCCCTCTTGCCGCTTCAGCCTGCATGTGTGTGCACAACCCCATTTACATCGGTACAAGCGCGCGTACAGGAGCTGTTCTCTCTCTCACTAGAGGTCAAGCGAAACACAACACAAGGTGAGTCAACCACTTTGCCGTGGCGCATATATCACTGGTTATTTTCAGATAAGGGAGGGGGGTTTCGCCGGGGACACTCATGAGGATGCTGCATCAGAGAAACACTCGGTGAATAGTAACTGAAATCTCACTCAGGATGTTGGGGGAAGTCTAGAAACATTAATACACAAATACATTTAGGGACTGACACAACTTCAGCTGGCTCGTCTTTGAAGACACTCGTGCTTCTTGAAATTCTTTTAGGGTTTTGTCACATTTTTGTTGGGAATTTATGCGGCTAGATCGGGACAAAGGGAATTTGTCACTGAACTGGAACACAAATCATGTTTTTCAAGGTTCTGTCAAATACAAAATCTGAAAAATGTGACACATTTTTATTTCGACTGGATGAAGAGCATCTGTGAAGATGAGTTGTGTCGTCTTGCATATGATTTTTTTTTTTTTAATCAGATTTAGGTCAGCGCTGGCTGTACATGAAGGGCTGTGGTGCTGCTCTAAGCGAGCAGTCTCGGTCACGTTTTCATCCACCATGCTACTGTTTTTAAAAAGCAAACCAAGGCATGATGCTGCCACCACCGTGCCTTCATTGTCTGTTGGGGGGATCTTATCTTTTGCATTTTTTTGCAGTAAACCACAGAAGTGACTTCTCGTTATTCTCTTTTACAAATTTAACAGTCCTGCCACTCTTCCATTCAAAATCAGATTTTGTGGGGTGGTGCTGTGAACACGTTCTCTCCCCAAAGCTGCAGCTCCTGCAGAGATACTGACAGCTTCTTTGTTTCTCAGATGAATGGTCCGATTGCCTCATAGCCCAAGCTTTTTTCAAACTTCTCTGCTTCTTTATCCCTGACTTGTCTGGCGGGTTCACTGATGCCGTTTACTCTCTCATGTTCTCTAACAAACCTTCAAGGTGTTCACAGAGCAGCCGTTAATTTCCTAAACTACACACACATTGACCATATTAACTAATTAAATGACTTCTGAAGGCAGCTGGTTTCGCTGGATTTAATTCTGAGTTTTCAGTAAATTATTGGGTGTGTGTGATAAGGGTAAGAAAATGCAGACAAAGTTGAAGGGATACGAGTAGTTTTGCAAGAAACCTCGACATTCAGAAAAATGCGTTCAAAGTATGTTTGAAATTTTAATGAAAAAAAAAACAACTAAAGATCTATTTCATAATTCAGACAAACGAGAAAATTAATTAGCAATCAGAGAGTTTCTGCCACACTGAGAAGACAAAGTAATCATCATTACGCATAATTTCAGGCTGACGCGGTGTTTACTTTTACCATCTTTTTTTTTTTTTTTTTTTACTGTCAGAAGAAAGTGATGTCATCCGCAGCAGGAACGAATGTTGGCACAGACACACGATCAGATCAAAGCAGGATGAGTGGCAGGAACGGCGAAGGCAGAGTATTAGGTGTGAGTAAGGAACAAAGATAAAAGAGGAGAACCGGATGGAGATAAGAGGTAGAAATGGGGCAAAAACGAGGCTAGAGAGCATTAGAGAACGTATCGGTGAACGTAAGTCACTAAGTGAGCAGTAGTAGACTGTTCAGCCAGAAAAGCAAGTGACCCAAGCAACAGTGCACATTTCAGTGTATGCATGTGTGCGTGCGTGCGCGTGCGTGCGTGTGTGTGTGCGTGTGTGTGTGTGTGTGTCCTGGCTCGACTCCCAGGAGCAGACACTTCTGTGCTGCCAAAGTTTAACTGGGTCCATTCTCGTGCCACGGTTGATGTAGTGAACTACACCAGAACTACAGCATTCCACTGGGATAAGCCTCTAAAAGGGAATACCATGGAAAAAGATTGAGTCAAAGAAGGGGTTCTAATAACAGAGCGACAGGATTTAAGGAAAAAACAAACAAAACAGATATACGCAAGAGTTAATGAGAAAATTGCAGTAGGTAGAAGCAGAGATAGAAATCGATTAAGGAGAGGAAGAAGGAGAGGGAGGTAGAGATGAAGAGAGAGAGAGAGGGAGGGAGGGAGAGAATCACTGGGCTCCACGAGGATCAGCAGCGTCAGAATGAGACGGGGAGAGATAGAGAGCGGTAAAGAGTCAGGAGAGGAGAGGAGAGAGCGCTGGCGAGGACTAAAGGACTACCAGCTACAAGAGAGACACACCAAGAAGGAGGGAGGAAAAGCATGCTGACCAAGGAGGAGCACAAGAAACGGTAAGTGACTCTGAAACAAGAGCAAAGAAAGCTGTTAGAGAATATTACTGAGTGTGGAGTGGAGTGTGTATAGAGGAGAGACGGCATAAAAGCTTACAAGGTACTTTTATATCCAGGACTGTATTGACCCTCTCAGGAATATTCCCCCCGTTTCAGAGCACTTCATTTAAGATTAAAGACGCTGGCTGGATATTTGAATGGAGGGAACTGGGACTGTTTGGAAGCAGCTGCAACAGTAGGAAAAAAAAATAAAAATCTGCGCTGTACAACTAAATAGCAGAAAACATTGTCTGACTTGTGTCTGTTTAGTTTTTATAGTTTTATTGGTCTATTTATACTTACAAAACCTGTATGTTGAGTTTAAGATGTGCATTCATGTGTTTTCATTAAGAAGGTTATGTGATGACATCAACACTGAGCTTCACTGTAAGTATGTGGGAATTAAATCACATCCATCTGAAACAGCAGGATGTGATGCATATGACTGCATCGGTTTCCGTTTGCATACAGTGTGTGTGTGTGTGTGTGTGTGTGTGTGTGTGTGTGTGTGTTGGTACGCTCAGCGGGTGCTTATTTTTTGCATGTTCTATTCTACAATATTAATGATGTTTCTTTTAGCTTTTATTGAGGATTCTAAACCTTCATGTGTGGAAGTGTGTGTGTGTGTGTGTTTCTCTTAATTGTTATTGAAAGCCACTGAGCTGGTCGTCAGGGCAGCAGGTGTAGCTTTAAAATCACTCGTGAACTCTAATGTGTCTGCGATGTGTGCAGCCAAGGTAAGCCTTTGACTTTGGAGACATAAATCCGGTTAATGTGGCCGCGTCACAGCAACGTGTCTTCCTTTCTTGTGTCCTACTAATGTAAGTAAGTGAATTCTAATGTTCAAGTTATGGTTGGAGCACTTAGCAGCTACTGTTGGTGTTAGGTCAACCCAAGGTAAATGCACGCTCAAATGATTTAAACAGGACGATGAGTACATTATGAGATAACACGCGAATGTACTGCAGAGGCAGTCTGGATATATGACCTGTGACCCTAAAATGTCTGCAACCTTCTCAGTTTAAAATACAGCTCTGGACACAGTATGAGCTAAAACATTACAGGGCAAGATTTACTAGGCTTGTACCAACAGCGTGTGAAACTGAAAAGTGACAGATTCCTTCGCTTTCTTTCGATTGTTCTAAATTTCCTGACTAACTGCATGATGTGCAAATCCAGAATTTGCTGATAATCTGTTTATCTGTGCGCTTCTGCAAAACCCCTAAGAGAAGTACTTTCCCTAATACTCGAGAGCTGTCAAAGTTGTTTTGCTTTTGGATCAAATTCTCTCTTTTTTTTTTTTTCTCTCCAGAGTTATTTGTTGATTGCTGCAAAACGCTCAGTTCCAAATTCACTTTCACGTCTTCAACATGAACACTCCCTCAGAATCTTTTTTTTTATTTTTGAGCAAAACCGATGTTGGACTCTTTATTGAGGCGAGTTTTACTCTTCCATGTACAAACATCTGCTGTTTGTTCATTGCTCCAGCACAGTTTAATGGTGCTGCAGCACACCAATGCCAGTGGAGAAAATTATAAGCTCTTCTGCTGTCAATGTGGGCTCTGCTTACAGTTTTGCCCAGAGGACACGCATTTTTATCTGAACATTTCCTTGATTTTGTCCATTTAATTTCTAATGAGACTTTTGATGCTGACTGTTGCTGTAATCTTCCTATTTTCCGACAGAGTCTCTCTTAAAATGTTCAGTTGCACCAAACATGTTCTCAAGCCCAATCTGATTTTTTTTTAGGCCGAAATCTGTTTTTTTTTTTTGTTTTGTTTTTTTGTTTTGGTGCAACTTGCTGATTCTTATTTTGACCGATACTGATTTTCGACTCAAAGGGCTGCAACATGTCAAGGAATAAAACTAATGAATGGTGGTAATATTCTTAAATTGAGCAAAAAAAAAAAAAATAAATAAATAAAAATAAAAATAAAAGATAAAAAATATCCTCAAGTGATATTTTTTTTGTTTTTTTTGTTGAATTTAAAAAAAAGTGAATTGTTGTTTGATAAGTTCATAGGCCAGAAAAAAAAGGTTTGGGTTTGAGATGAGATGTAATTAACAAAATGATAACCAAAAAAAAAAAAAAGAGAGAGAGAGAAGTTTTTTATAGACTTGAGCTGCTGATTATTGATTAGAGGAGTTCAAATGAAATAAACAAAAATGATAATTCTGCTCCGATAATGGGAATATTCCAATAACGGTAAAAAATAATCTAAAAGTAAAATAAATAAGTGATAAAAGGATAATTAAAGCTTTTAAATATCAAAAGGTTTGTTTCCCCATCACATTTTTTTTTTTTGCTTGTTTTACGTCAATAGCATTCATTATTATTACACTTCTGATGTTACTGAAGTTAAATGATATATTTTCTAATTATAAATGAGAGGTTAACTACCCGTCTATTAATAAAACACCGCCAAACATAACAGAGAACAGATTGAATGGGAAATTTAAATCTGGATAGTTTAATGCAAATCACACCTGACAAACCTCATCAGTAGGTGACGACATTAAGCCTGAATTTGCTTTCAGTCCGTTGCTTCTCTCCAGAGAGTGACGGATGATGGAGAGAAAGAGCAAATGGAGGTTAAAGGAGGACTGACAGGGAGACAAGGTGGATGAATAAAAAGAAAACTGTGCCATTGTGAGTGTGTGTGTGTGTGTGTGAGTGCGTGTGGTTTGTGTGTGTTGCCAGAACTTTAACCGCTCTGTTAGCCAGAAAGACTGTGATAAAGTGACGAGACACAGATGAGATGCAGGGGAAAAAAGAGAGAAGGGCTGGGAAGTCAGGAGGGCAGGGAGATAAGAATGAGGGGGCGATGATGGTGAGGTCACCATAGATGCATAAGAGAAGGTAATAAATCAAGTGTTACTGGTTTTAGTCACTTTCTAGACTGCACAAAGAAAAAAGAATCCTAGAATTTGCTGATAATCTGTTTCTGTGCAGCTTTTTCTCTGGTACAGACGTCTGATGAAATGTTTAAGAGAAGTTTTATTTTCAGGAGTTGTCAAAGCTACAAAAGCATAAAAACGAGAAGGATGAAAAGCACTTAGAGAACAAAACAGGAGGAAAGCAGGTGAAAATATTCAGAGTTGAGATGAAACAGATGAAATAATAAAAGTACGGTTTATAAAAAAACAAAAAAACAACAACTCATCACATCTGACTAACCACTGATATGGGAGTGATTTGGTTGTGCACCTTAAGTCGGACATTCTGTTTCCCCGTATTACCTCACCGGAACGGTTTCTTCGCTGTATCAAGCTCATCTCTCATTGTTGGATGTTTGGTTGGAAATAGCTCATAAATATTCAGCTTTTTGTTTGTTTCTCTGCTCTGCTGCTCAACCAACACGACACATAAATTCCTCCAGCCAGCAACAAAACAAATGAATCAGACCACTAGATGGATTTGCCAATATTGGTCTCTTTTTCTAAATGCTCTTTTTATTTGTTGTCGGGAGTGTCTGAGGGTTTTTCAATTGAAACAGCACATTGCTCTTCAAGCGATTCTATTCGTAATTCCATCTCATAAAAGGCGGCTAAACAAGGCTCTGAATCTGTTATAAAACTGATGATAATGAGTTTGTTTGTGCATCATTATAGAATTAGCATATTGCAGCATTAACCTTTGACCTGTGCTGGAACATTGGACTCGATGACTACAGACGAGTTATTTATCATGTCAGATATGCAACATTTTGGAAATTATTCTTTTCCAGTAATTTCTCGCCACTATATAATTTCCGAGCAGATGCGAATATGAAAAACAAGAAGCAGTCCCTCTCAATATGTCTTTCCGTTTTTTTTAATTAATTAATTTATTTTATTTTATGGATGCTGCTAAATATAAATACATACACAAGATCTTTAGAAGGACGCCCAACTGGACTGTTTGTTCTAATCAGAGGTTTTCTCAAAGAAAAATTTACATTTTACTTTTTAATTGGCTGCAATTGTGTTTATGTTCAGCTTTTATGCATACCAGTAGAACAAACTACAACCAAAAAAAAAAAAAAAAAATCATGTCAAACCCCCATGCACACAGAGGTTTATCATTTTACTGTGGAAATTACCATACAGACATAAGGGGGGCAATGGTACGTACACTCATTCACGTATTTGTTAGACAAATAGGATTAGAGGACCTGAGTCTCTGAACACTCATTAACTTCTTACGTTGCATGTTGGACTATAAGAGTCTTCGAGAGAGACGCTTGCATATTTTACTATCTGTGCTTCACAGAGACAGCCGGCTCTTGTGATATGAACATTAACCTTTCTATGGCATCTGGCTCTTCACTTAAAATGCTGATTAAAGTGCACTGTCACTACACAATACAGCTGGACGCAATTAAAATGGATAAGAAACCAGCTGCAGAAACGGCTGAGCCGGTTTCCTTTTTCTTTTCAAAGACCGTCACCGGATTTGTGCTTCTGCGAGGCAAAACAAAATGCCACGGCGTAACGCTTAAAAACAGACGAGATCAGCAGCCGATTACAGCAAGAGAAGCAAGCAGCGATCCAGGATCGAGAGCATGTACATGCTTTACATCTGCAACGTTGCACACGAACCTGTGGCCGAGCCGGGGGTTCGTTGCAGGAGCGATGCTCGTTATTTATGAACACTAAGACACGAGCGGACAGCATCAGAACCAGAGTAAATACAAAACACAGATTTTTAAATCACGTTTTCATCTATTCAGGGGCGGAATAAAAGCTCAAATCAACCTGGCTCTGTGTGAAGAAGTAATTGCCCACCAAATCTAGACCCTCCTTGTGCCACCATTGGCAGCTAAACCTGCCATGAACTATTTGCAATATCCGGCAATGAGTCATTCACACTCTGCGAGGGAACTTTGGCACCATTTTCTAATAGCGTTTGTGCTTTTTATGCCCCACTGCAGGGTTTCCGAGCATGAAAGGCAAGTTTAAGGTCATTACGCAGAATCTCA